TATATATATTGATTGATTGGGTTGGACAGTCACCCAAGCTCTACCAAAAGCGAAGATATTTTTAAAATAAACAAATTGATCGGTTAAGGAATGGGCCACATTGAAACTCGCATCACCATTTAGCTGACATTTTTTAGTACTACTGAAATCTGAGTTTTCTAGAGGTTCCTTCCTTGGTCTGGTTTTTTTTTTTTATAGGCAGACATGTTTTTCATGAGACTATAGTGAGTGTGGAATGATAGACTTACGAACGTTAGAATATTTGTGATGATTGCAAAAAATACAAAGTAACAGATGTACATATTTGGACTAAAGTGATAGACCAACAGGCAGACTAAATAATAACGAAATTGAGAGATATTGAACTATTTTGTGATGGCAAAAGTAATAGATCTGTATACATTGGACTACATTGAAGTGAGCCTTGCAGATCAAATGTATACACTACTGCTAAAAACCAGAACCAAAGCAATTCAACAGAACATATGACATTTTCTCATTACCGCAATTAGGACTGGTGAATTATAAAGTTTAAAATCATCAAACAATTATAAAGTAAAAAATGTAGGAATAACAAAAATATGATTATAATGGACATGACGTCAATGTGACTTGGACTGGGACGGCAATGGTGCTCGAGTGTGATGCTGTTGAGAGTCCTTAGCATTGCGACATATTATATAACCTGAACTTGAGGAGGTTAGTTTATTTTAAGGTAATTTTGGTAGCTAGTTTTAGAAAATGCAAATTTCGTTAACATAAAATTTTAATTACCTGTTTATATTAATATTTAAAATATGTAGAATGATGTCATATTATTAATATGCACATCTTTGATACATTATATGGAATTATTTTTTAAGAAGATCCAAGAAGCACCGTGGCCAGTGGTGGACAGACAAAAACCCAAGTACAAAAACATATGAAATCGGTATAAAAAATAAAGTAAAAGAAAAGAATGAAAATAAAAACAAAATAGCTTTTCCACTAGTGGGGCAAAACCAAAAAAATAACAAAAATAGAAAAGCCAATTGCATAAAATTTTACCAACCTGAGAGATTTGAAATGCGCGAGTGACTACAGTATACCAGTTGGCTGGGTGGCGGGGGTCCAAGCGGCAGGGGAACCACTCCCATCCCCGCTCCTCCGACGAGCTGAGCGTTTTTAAGCTGTTTTGAAACGATTTCAGGGAGTGTCTGTTGATAATACAGGTACATAAGCAAAAATATTATAATAAAGCCAATGTGAGTTTCAACGTAGGGCTATGTTTAATTTAATACAACCAATTTCTTCTAATTTTAAATACATTTTCCCCTGAATTTGTGATAAATCGTTTATCATGCAGGATGCCAGGTATATAAAGTATGCCAAAACAGGCTTAGGTCATGTTCGATCTCCATAACCGCGCTACGTCTGTTTGGAGTCTACTATTTCATTTCGGGTGGCTAGGGGGGTGGGGATACACATGTATGAGGCGCCAAGTGTAAATTTATTATTTAACACAATTATTTATATATAATTTATTATTTAACATATAATTGACTAGATCACCCATTATTTATATATAGTGCATTTACGTCTAAAAGATTATATGTAAATAATTGCGTTACCGTTTCATTATTTAAATATAATTAGCTTATTGATTACATTATATATAAGGCTAACCAAACATTATTTATATATAATAAGGTAACTGGCTTCATTATATATAAAGGTAACTGGCTTCATTATATATAAATAATGAAGGGGATACACATCATTATTAT